TTGCGCAATTGTGCGCAATAGCGAAATTTGGCATTGCACTTTTTAGAGGGGTCTAGGCTTCATAATATGCACTAATAAAGTCTGATTTCTTGATAAAATCACTGTCTGCCATCAATATTAACTGATTATTGGACGATTAATAATGATTTCCCCGATTTAATGCCATTTCTCACCGAAAATCCGCGGACGAACGCCAAAACTTGCATTCACTGCTAGTGGCCGGCCGCCATTATGAATGTGCGCGGAAAAGCTGCGCAATGTCGAAATTTGGCGTTGGACACTTTTTTATAGACGTCTCACGAGCTTTCACAAAATGTAATAATAAAGTCTGATTTCTCGATAAAATCATTGCTGGTCGTCAATATTAACTGATTATTGCACGATTAATAATTATTTTCCCGGTTTAATCCCGTTTCTCACACCGAAAATTGACGAAAAAGAGCGCCCTGAACATTATTTAGCGAGTCCAATATAATAATTCGTGCTATTAATTTTTTCGGTATTTGAGGGTTATTACTACAATAATGACTGTGTACAACTGTTTTATGATAATATGAGATAACTGATGTGTTAATTGAATAGAAAATTAAATATGTGAAGCTATAATTAATGCATTGACAACTAATTTGATTTTGGAAGAAAGATGGAAAGTTCGAAATCCTTGAGCGATCCATTACTGAGATCGTCCAACTCACTAGATGATGCCTGCACTGCACCCAGTACAGAATGTGGCGATATTTGTGGAGAGAGAAGTGGACTGCAGATTCTTGATGAATTTAGAAAATTATACGAGAAACAGATAGCAAGTATTAATTACGATGACTCCAATGCATCAGCTTTAAAAATGAAAATTATGGAAGAGTGGATCAGAGACCTTGATGCTCAAAATGTGATGCTAGTGAAGACGGTTCAGGAACTGGAGGAGGCAGCTTATCAAAGGGTCAAGATATTGGAGGATAAACTAAAGCACACGTCTCACTTGATTAATGATAATATGTCGCGATTCCAACAGCCGACTCATCACAGGTTGAATGATCTTTCAGAGAGGCTCGATTTCTTGGAGGATGAGGAGGGATTCTTCAAACAAAAAATCAATAATTTGCAAAATGATATTACTGGACTGTTAGAATTGATTAGGCGTGGCTATTACGAGCGGCGTTGGAGTCTCAAGGGGATAAATCTATGTGAATTGAAGGATACTGACATACCGATTCCCTTTACGTAATTCTGTTTTTCATTGTTCATTATTAGAATCACATGGAAAAGAAGTAATAACACAGAATTGATCAATTTGACTTTTTTTTTTGCATCTGTAATTAGCCCCTACAAAATGTCGGCAATTTCTCGTGAATTCTGGAGTTAAATAGCGAAAATATCTTATTCTTATGAATCAATTATTTGTTTTTCAGTGGTGAAGATGAACCCCAGGAGCACAGCATTCCAACAAACAAAGACCTGACGGTAACATTGGATCTTGGTGTTTTAAAAAATGGCAGAGGCCCGCACCTCATTTCCCTACACTATTCCAAAGATTATAAATTTCATTCCCAAAACAACAAGAGCTACATAAAAAACTTGTCCTTAACATCCTAATTCCATTGCTCTGTTTTATTAATCACAATTATTATTCACATTTGTAGTCATTTATCTTTCTAATAAATGTGTTTTCTTAAATCAGGAGCCTGATAAATTCAAGTTATTATCAGAGAATGAGAAAATAATGTCCAGTGAAGACAGTGGGAGGAAAACAATTGTTGAACATCATGTTGAGTTGAATAATTTACAGGAAGAATTGCAAAAAAAACATAAGGAAGTGGAACGATTGAAAAATCAATTACATTTTCTAGAAAAAGTCAGTTGATTCACCATTAATCGTCCTTATGTACATATATTATTATTTTTAATTTTTTTTTTTGCCTCCTGTTTATAGGAAGCCCTGGAAGCAAGAGAGGCATTAACACTAGAAGTAGCTGAGAAACATGATCAGGCAATAATGTTGAAAGATCAAATGGCAAATCTCGAGGACCAATACCGCCAATCAGCCATGCAGATGCAATTCAAAGACGATATAATTAAAGAAATGCGCAATCAATTAAAGCAAATACAGAAAAAGGTGAGACATTTTCAGATCGATTTCCAAATTTTATTGATTCAATAAATCATACCTCACACAATGATCCCAGGTATCCCCTTGCCATCAAGACGGACTGGTTATTGGTATTCAAAGTCATAAGATAGACGATGTAGTAGATACAGTAAGCCTCTCTCAAACTGGCTTTTGCCTGTTACATTGTAAAAATAGTGGGGCAAGTGTAAAGAAGAGAATGCAAAAGAATTTCGAGAGTGATGAAAAGATAGCCAAGTTGTTAGAAAATTTAGATATCATTAGGAGAAGTGACAAGTTGAAAAACCAACAACATAACAAGAATACTATTGTTGCCCCTGTATCTTTATCAAAAAATAAATAAATAGTCCATTTGTCGGATAGAATATTTATTTATTTGTCTCCTTCTTTTTGAGTTGCTTTTTTTCAATCGAATTAGATGGAACAAATTCTTCTTGCTCGACACTCAAGGCTGACAGTGTAGAAATATTATTACAAATTTATTTATACATACGTGGATTTCTATTATTTCAGGGATCGTCTCTGTCACCCTCAGCTCAGTTAAAAAAATGTACCGGAGTAAGTATTTTTTTGTCTACTGTTTTCCAACTATTTGTATAGTTGGTATATTGCAGTAAAGAGCGTTAAATGTGTTATAGGTAACATGGAGCGATGTTTCAACTCATCAACTAACGTACCAAAGTGAGGTAATATAAAAAATATCTCCATTTTCAATTTAATAGTGAATTATGATAATAAAAACAGGATAAGTCAACTAGACATTTTCCAGAAAAATTGTCGTATTCTGTTTTTCAACTCCATTACTGTCATCATTGTCAATGTAATAATTCTTCTTCTTCTTCTTCTTCTAGAGCCATGGCAATGATGAAACCTTAAAATACTTAACAAGTTTAAAGACTATTATGGAGAGCGAATACTATGAATTGATACATGTGAAAAATATATTGATTGAAATTCTGAAAACATTAAATTTCCATGAAAAAAGGGTAATTTGTAATTAAAATTAAATTAAAAATGGACAATTCATTGATATATTGGCATTTTTATTCATGTTATAGTCTTATGAGAAAGGACTATCTGACGCCCATCAAAAGCTCCAAGATATTGGAAATCTCCTCGAAAATTACAAGATTCAGGTGATTGATTGTTTTTTGAGATGAAATATAAACCCCCCAAATAAAAATGCACAAAATAATTAAGCATTAATTTAATGTTTATACTACAATCCTACGACTAAATAAAATATTACAATCTCTGCTTTTTATTTTATTCTTTAGACTACAGCAGGGAATTCAGATTGCAATACATTCATCAGTAATACGTGTAAATTAACACAAGCTATTGAAATTCTTTCAAAAATCTGTCTGGAAAAGGGCAACGGAATCCAACAAGTGAAACTCGTGAAAATTTTTCATGAAAGTAATAATCAACAAGGCTCGGTAGAAAAAATAAATGAGCCCTGTGAAAAACCTCGAAACGTATGTCGTCAAGATTTCAACATGATGGAAGAATTTAGAATCTGCGCGGTGGAGGCACAAGCAGCTGTAGAAGATCTCCAAGAAGAAATCGCCTCAACAGTTGCTAATCTATCGTGCAGACACCAACTATTCACTGATGTAACAATTGCCCTTGAGAAAAATCACCAAGAATTTATAAAAGCTAATGACGATTTATTGAATGCGATAAGCCGCTTAAAGGACCATATTGAAGAAAAAGTTATCACAAAAAAAACGATAATTGCCGGAGGAATGAAGCTCAAAGATTTTAAGGATGAAATGAATGAGTGCCTTGTTAAATTAAAATGTAGGCCCCATAATGAAACTTCAACTGACCAAGAAAAATTGACGGAAAGAAAATTATCAACTGCCCTTGACTTACAATTAGTAGATAAAGTTATGGATGAGATAGACTATATAGTATGTAATATTCAAGTCTTAATATCCAAAGAGGACTCTAGTTGTAAATTATTACACAAATGCAAAGATCAACTGCAAAGGGTAGATAATAATTTTGATGAATTGAAGAAATTTAATGATGGTGTATTACGAGATAACAACTTAGCGAAAGATGAATACGAAGAAAATTTGAAAAAGTTGGAGAAATTGGAGAGAGAATTGGATAATGCCCACACACGGATGCAGGATCATTTGGAGGATATTATGCAGAGGAGTCAGCAATATGAAGATTCGACTGATGATCCTTCAAGCAACATAGAAATAGAAGAGCTTAAGAATGCCATGACTTCCAAGGACAAATTGGTGAGCAGGCATTAATAATTCATTAATTAATATATCACTCGATATTTCGATAATCATACTGAGACTTGGAGGAATTGAAATATATTTTATAAACTTTTGTAGATTGAGCATAGAGATGAAATTATAAAAATTCTAAAGAATTCGATTCATGTGACACAAGAGGAAATGAAAAATTTGCAAAAAAAATTGCAGAGAAAGGTATAAAAAAATTTTTTCTTCATTCATTCATTTTTTACAAATTATATTTTGTGAAATATCTCGCGATATTTAGAATGATAATTTTTACATGATGAAAAATGTTGTGTTTCATAAAAATCACGTACAAAAAGATAAACTAAAAACAGATGGTATATAAGTAATCACAATCTAATAATTACAGATTGATGAATATGTGGCTAGGATTAATCAACATTTGGAAGAAAATAAATATTTGTTGGAGGAGGTGTGTAATCATTGATATGAATAACCATCATCAATCTCAACCTGCTTCATTTTCATTGATTATGATTTTGATTAATAAATTCACAGAGTAAACGACAGAATGAAACCATAGAACATTTGCGAGAAGCTTTAGTTGAAGCGAAAAAGTGTTTAGATCGTCAGTGTGGTCAAAAGTCAGTTGGTGATGTGTGGACTGCTATTACACCAACAGTCTTCAATAATGGAGATGTTCATGATATTTAGAAGAGATTTTAGCTTGTCATAGCTTAAATGAAAATAATTGAAATAACAATAATTATAATTATTACGCTTCTGTTAATCTTTGATTAAATACAGCAATTCAATACAACAAAGAAATGTTCAATTGTTTTTCTCTTCTCATTTATCATCCTCTGGATTATATAAATTTTATCAATATTTTTATTGTAAATCTAACTCTTTTCGGAAAGAAAAACCTTCCGAACCTCCCGAACGGAATATAAATAAATAAATCTACATTTGCGGTCCAAGATATTTCATGAAATGTCATCTGTCTTCTCCATTCTGTATTATTAACACTCCGTTACTAATTGATATTTTTATTTTCAATAGAATTACAACATCGGAAGCGAAATTAATGAAATTGTAAATGAAATGACTGAGTGTGACGACTCCGCGGAATGTAAGCATTATTATGGAAAAATCCTTATGAATTGCATAAGGAAGCTGAATGAGTCAAAAAACATGATCAATACCCTGCAAATTCGTTTGTCCTCAACCCAAAAACTTGTCCACGAAAAATCCAACCAACTAGCCTGTCTTGCCGCTGATTATCAAATCATTTACGTACGACATACTTTCACCGACTTTTCCAAAACTCACTCTATCATATTCATATTTCCAGAATCATTCTTCACTTATCGAGTCAGCAAGTCGAAATTCCGAGTATAAACAGAAAAAAAAAGAAATGTCTTTTTTCTCCATTATCTCCAAACTGCGAGAGAAACTAAAAAATACTGAGCATGATTACAGAAGAATTTGTCATGATTTTGAAAAAAGCCAACGACTATTAATGATGGCTGCAACTCGAGAAGTTGGTTTGCAGTATTCTCTCACTGTCTTACATTTTACAGGTGACCAAAACACTTTCCAATTCCAGTTGGTGCAGCAACTCAATTCCCTGAAAAAGCATGTGAGTCTCCCTGACTCTGGTATCTGCTCACTTTTATTCTCAACAACGTGTTAATACTTTAGGTGGCGAAACTCCAAGTAGAATCTGATAAGCTAGCACGAAAGAATATTCAATTAACGCAACAGTTGCAAAGTTGTAGAGAATTTAATGAGCTTAGGAGAGTGCAAAATGTGAAATCCAGACGTACCAAGTAAACATACCAAGCCTATATAGTCATCATGTTATATAAAACGATTTAATTTTTCAACCTATTTTGCCTACAAAAAGACATTCTCCCGAAAATTTGTCCAAATAAAATTGGCTCACAATCAAATCGTTTTATCACTTCATTACCAAGATGAAGACAAAAAAAATTGAAACTTTTGAATCGATTAATAATTTGAGCCTCATTTTTTTAGAATACTTTCAATCACTGTTAGAGATTACAAGTACTGGCGTAAAAATATCAAAAATAAGCGGATTGCTAATTGGTCTTGCAGAGTGCAACAACCCTTGTGAAATTTGCAAAAAAAAAAACAAAAAACAATGGTCCAAAGGTTTATTTATAATAAATTAATAAACCATCGATTATTTTGACCACATTGAATTTAAAAAAAAAAAAGTGTTTTTTTTTATTAAGACCATTTCACAAGCAAATGACAGCAAATTAATTTTTCCATCATTATTTAATAATTTGAATTAAATTGTGAATGGCAGGGCAAATAATTATGAATAAACAAAAAGTAATGCAACTTGACTCAACGATCTTCAGGCTTCATCTTTCATATTTTCCATTTTTCTGTATAATTATTTATAATTTACCATGATTGATCAATAGAATTAATATACAACATACTTTAAAGTTATAATTATTATTACACGTTACAATCTGACGAAGAAAATATATAGTTTTTAATTATAGCAGCAGGAATGGCCCCTACTATCTTACAAGAATGTTTTATGTCCTTTTTGCGTGCCAAAATGTTTCATTATTAATGTTAGGTTTTATTTTTTCTGCTTACTTTTCGATTCAATCCATTACCTATTTTTAACCATACACAGTGGATCGTGAATCGTAGCTCATCATTTATCATTTATCAGTTATCATCAAATTATTGTTATTATTATTATTTCCTTACATAAACCATATGAGATATATGATTTGTTTAATATATAGTATATTTATATATTTATAACGAACACCGTCCATTACTACTAGAATAACAAACGGGACTTTTCGCTCTGTTGTTGTTTTTTTTCTTCTTTTTCAGTTTCTCTCTTTTCCAACAGATTTTTCGTTTCTTAACATGGTTGATATCGTCGGATACATTGTGACACAATTGTTATTTTTTTTCCTGTTTTCAGTATAATTCCTCCTAGGTTTCATGTTGGGTGGTGTTTTATTTTCTTAAATTTCATTGAAAATTATTTATCTTTCCATTATGAATCCTTGGACGAGTTTTTTCTGCATATAAACACACTTGCTCCTCAACAACTCTCTCCCTCTCTATACCTTCCTTCACTCAGAGTTTATACTGTTTCTTTCATTTTTAATTAATAATTAATTATAAATCGGTCGCAGTAGCTGTCTCTATATATAATAGTTTCCCCTCGATTTTCATTACCACCTACAACTGTCTGCTCATTAGATTAATTTCGAGTGGTTATGACTTTTTTTTGTTATCCATTTTTCGTTATTTTTTTTTCGCGGTTTTCTTCGATGCTCGTTATCTCGTACAAATTCATATGGGGATCCAGTGTGGCCAAGAATGTTTGCTAGGATATCAAATATCCCGTGTATGTTAATCTGAAAATTGTATTCAATTTAATTAGTTTTCCCGCTAATACGTCTGAATAATATAAATCATAATGATAAATGACGGCACCCAAATTCTTTAACTTTATGAGCCAGTAGCTACCAACCAATCCAATTATCATGGTAAAAATTTAGAAACCATGTGACTGACACTCGGCTCGATTTTTTTCAATTCTCTTGTATAAAATTCTCACTCGAAAAGAATACATCAATTTGTCAATAATAAAGTTTTCAACTTATGATGATGTTTCAGATGCAAATTGTTACAGTGTAATGTTTCATGGTTTTCAGCACAGCAAACAAGAGATAAAATAATAATATGTGAATTCCAAAGTCATAATAGTAGTAGTAGTACTCATGCATGAATTGAAGTATACTGTTGGAGGATTTACTGATAAATACTGGTAGTGATAATTGAATGCGTCACATGACAATGATTCTGTTCGTAATGTCTGTTTATCATTTTTCAATAATATTAATAATGATAATAATCTTTTTACCTATATGAAATCAATGAGAGCGACACCTACGAATTTGTTCAATCACTTGCAGCAGTTACTCGCTGTAGTTTTTTGTCCCTCAGACTCCACTAGCCGACGACCCTGGCCACTCGTACTTGCGTTTCCCGTTTGTTCATTTTTTGGGAGTTTTTTAGCTGAAAATTATAATGCACGAGAAATTAGTAGTTGCATCGATAAGGCAAACTGAATTCATATAAATTCCAGAGCATTACGAACGGGAATGACGATTTAGCGAGGCGTGTTGGTGGAAAGAAAAAAAAAAAAAAAAAGCAGAAGAGAGAAGGAAAAGAAAACAAATCATTTGCGTTATTTGCACATATCACGTGTAATGAGATATCAGTTTGAATTTTCACGATTCAAGTAATCCAGATAATCCAGATGGGTTGGAATGATTTTTGACGACTCACCAATCGCTAAGAATATATCATTAACGTTCATCGCAGTTTTCGCTGATGTCTCCATGAATAAAAGCCCATTCTCGTCGGCATAAGCTTGAGCCTCGTCATAATCGACCATACGTTTGTTTGCTAAATCGGCTTTGTTGCCTGCCAATGCTATCACTATACTGGGACTCGCCTGTCGTTGAAGTTCTTTTACCCAAGTTGTGGCTCGTACGAATGTGTCCTGAGGAATGACAAAATGCCAAGTAATAAAATGAGAGATGAGTCAATATCAATGGGATCATGAGAATTGCTTTATCAATTATCAATTGTCGAATAAATCAGAAAACTTGTAAAGCAGTAAAATTTCAAGTTTTCCGATAAATATGTCACTAAATTTCAAGTGAAAAGAAATGACAAAATAATCATACAGACATTTTTGTGACTTACTTGATTCTGTATGTCGTATACGACAATAGCCGCTTGAGCACCACGATAATACATGGGGGCAAGACTGTGGTAACGCTCCTGGCCTGCTGTATCCCATATCTCAAATTTGACAGTTGTATCATCGAGACATACTGTCTGTGTTAAAAATGCAGCTGTGAATGAAATAAAGATTCATTAAAAATGGAAATTCGTTTAAAAAAATTGCACACATTAGATGTTCTCACCTCCTATTGTACTTTCTTGATATTCATGAAATTGCCCTTTAACAAACCTCAATACCAAACTTGATTTTCCAACAGCCGATTCACCAAGTAAGACCAATTTAAACTGACAAATTTTTCCTTGAGTACCGTTTGGCCTTTGGGCCACCGTCCCACGATTAGCCATGGCAATCTGAAAGCCAGGACAGAAGAAAATACTTGAAAGAAAAAACCAACTCATCACAACACATTTATTCCCCCAACATACTCATCATCGCCCTGCCTAGCCATATCAACTCGTATTGTCATCATCTCTATGAAAAGTCAATTTTAAACGTCAATCAATTAGTCTTAAATTATGGAAAAATTCCCCCCGCTTAAACGTCAACACTACACTAACTTTCATCATGTTAGAAAATTAAACAGAAAATACTCTAGTATTGATATGAAAAATATGGTCAACAATCTTGTGTTGACATTGCCAATCTGCATTATTGGCTCTAAAAATATCAAAAATATCAAGGTGATTAGGCAAACACCACAGAATTGACTGAAAATTAAAACCTAAGTCAGCAGTCAGTCGTAGCAGCACCAAGTTGAGGTGTACATACGTTTTATGAATTATTTTATGAATGATGACATTTCTACGGATCTACTCAACCCGGTCTCCCTTTCACCACACTGCCATCTCAATCTTCACCGTATTTACTACTGTTTTTCCAGCCGACAACCCAACAACGCCAACAACCGATCGTCACGCCTCCCCTTCCTGCGAAACTCCTCTACAATCCTCTACTATTTCCTCTCCAATTTTTTACCCAGTAATCCTGTTAGTAATAAAAGTAAAGAGTAAGGTGATTCTAATTTCTAAGATACTGTAGCTCTAACCCATCATCAGCCTTATTAAACGTTAAAACTGAAAACTTGACTTGTATCACCATTTTCACTACACTATCGCTCAAAGCTCACTAATCGTCATCAGTGATTTACATATTAAAAACAGTAGTAAACACTCAACACTGAATTATTATAAATAATAAAACGTGTTGGCACAACACGTGAAAATAAATAACAAATTCAATTATAATGAGAAATTCCAC